CCAAGGAGAAAAAATCAAAGTTTAAATTAAGATAGAAACGTGGATAAGATAAAATAACAAACCTTGTAACCAGTGGGAGGAGGAATGAGGCAATTCAAATGCCTCTTTGGAGGTAGACAATGTCTTTCATAATGCTCCATTAAACACAAATTAAGCTTCAATATCATTTGATATATTAAATTTCTATCCACACACGGTTTCAACTCCAACAGACATTTCCATAAAATCTTCATCTATTTATTTTCTTCAAAACAAATATGTGGCAATATCAAAAAATTGCCATAAACACATAAAAGCGAAAATGTAAATTTATGGTGTACCCAATTAAATGATTTCTGTTGTTTCAAACCAAATAAGAGCAAAACATTATCTTGGTCTCTCTAATCTGCTCATTTTTGAAGATAAGATCTGGGGTCATTTTGTGAGAATATAAATCAGATTTTGCCTTGTTTTGTGGCCTTCGGTCGGCTGTGAACAATTTTTCTGGTGTTTGAGGTTGCTTCATTTGAAGGTAATTCATCATAAATTTGTTCTTGGAGGATTAAACTTGGATAAAGGCTTTCACTGGAGAGTATCCAAGTTCTGATTCACAAATTTAGCTAATGACAGAAAAATTAAGCCATATAAAATTTCTTGTTTTGCTTGTCCTCTCAGTATCAGACACCAAGACTCAGAAACCAATCATATCCACTTCTCCAAAGACCATCGATCAACAGGGATCTCCCAACAACATCAACCTATTCTATACAAATCAGAAAAAAAAACTTCACTGCCTTGAACAATTGCAGATTTACCGATTGTATTTATTAAACTAAATACAACCTATAACACTGAACAATCAACAAATAATCAACCCTCAATCACAAGGCTCAGATAAATACTTAATACAAAGAAGGCAGACTGATTATTTCTCAATAACAGAATAGAAACTCTCAAACATTAGCCATAAATTGCCTCACTAGAGCCGAAACCAAAACCGTGTGAAAGCCCAGAAAATTATTATGCTACAATTGCCATGAAAGACTTTTATTCACTTTGTCTACAGCCACAAAGAATGAGAAGGATGGCTCTGATACCAATTGTTGGAATTAAATCCTTTCCCAAAATCCCTTCTCAACTTCATGGCATGAATACAACAATAACAAATAAATCATACCTCCAATATATTGTAGCTAAGCTTCCAATTTCTCTGTCTCACCTGCAAAAGGGAAGAAATCGAGCATGGAGAAAAATACTCTCTATCCCCTCCACACCCTCACAACCGAGAACTCTCCAGAAGCTTGTGAAGAAAAGGTGCATCTCATAGTATATAGAATTCAATGGGCCAATCCTATGT